AAAAAACCGGACATTTCTGTTAAGATTCGAAGTTATTAGCATTTAATTGACCAATTTTGGGTTTTTGTACTAAAAATCGTAAAAGTTCCCTTAAAAATCAAAAACGCGCTAGAAAATAAAAATGTTTGTATGAATATGTTCTACATGGGCTAGTGTATCACCCCCTTAAAGGTTTGCACCCAGCTACCAAACACCCTGTATAAATATAAGTTTTGAACTCTTTGTTATGGTGGTCCTTCAAAAATCATTGAAAAAGATCAACAATGTTTTATTAAAAAAATCGAGGCAAGGAAGCATGGAAGAGTAAAAGGAAGAGTAAAGAGGATACAATGTGTTTCTCGTCATAAATACATAGTAAAAATTACTCCAATATGCAACACATATTACTAACAATGTATTCACAGCATTTTCTTGGATGCTGTGATTTAGTTGATAATACATGCATCCACTAATAAAATTGAAAAAAATGCATATGAAACAAATACACAAATCATCATGATCCAGACAGATGGCTGTCAACAAATAAGTTCCAGTATATGCTATGCACATGATGCACTGATGTCCATGTAAAGGTAGTAATGATAGACTAAAATAGATGAATAATGAAACTATAAAAAAATCAATGTTGAAATGATTTTCTTTTAAAATTGTCACAGTAGATTTCCTGACTTTCAATTAAAAAATAATTTCAATGAAAATTTGCACATTTCGACTACTTTTCCATTATTTTTCCAAAATATTACAAAAAACACAAATCCTATTTGTGTTTTTGGTAATATTCTATTTGTGTTTTTTGCGCACGTGTCGAGGTGTTAAAATAACGGTTTGGTGTTGGGAAAAAACTCCAGTAATATTTCTTACCAATTCAACTTTTATTCAAGTTGTCGTTAAGAACAGAGCAATTTCCGAAAATTTGGAAAAGCAGCTATGTAGTACCTATTTTCAAAACTGGACCAAAAAAAACTTTCAAAATTATAGATCTACAAGTATGCTCTCAGTGGTTCCCAAACTTTTTGAATCGTTACTAACACCCCTACTTACTTGGCATTGTAAGGATCTAGTCATTGATCAGCAACATGGTTTCACAGCTGTGAGATCTACAGTTACCAACTTCCTACTAGTATATCAAAATGAAACAATCAAAATTTCGAATCAGGCCTACAAATTGATGAAATCTATTCTGATTTTAGTAAAGCGTTTGATCATGTTAATCATAATCTATTGGTACAGATGTTGGTTTCGTTAGGTTTTCCCAATTTTATTACTCACTGGATAGGCGATTATCTCAAGAAAAACTTTGAATCAGAACGAATCTCGGTACCTTCTGGAGTGCCACAGGGCTCTCATTTGGGACCCCTG